AGTCAGTGGTCGAATTGTAACACTGCCTTGAGCAGTAGGAGAAAGTGAAGCAGTGAAAGGATTTACTTTAAATTTGTCAAGGGCTGCTTTTCAAGGCACCTGTCCCTGTTTCTATTTGGGACAGAAAGATAATTTTTTAAGAGAAGGTGTGTATAAAATGAATGAATTAGTTGTCATTTGCCCGTTGAAGGAAGGTAACAGCTGTTGTATTCATGATAAAATCAGCATCTTTTACCCTATTTTTGAATTTCGCCCCTCCCCTGTGAGTTATTTGACTCCAAGTTCTTTGAGAGGAAAGACTGTGTCTTGTACACTTTTTTGTTGGCCCAGCAGCTAGGAAAACATCCTACTTCAAATAGGGGTTTCAGAGTGTTTATTGAATGAATGAATTTCAAACCCAACTGCTTACATTGGGAAAGCATTGGGTTGTTTTTTTCATTTAATCTCTCACCTCAGTGGGGTTTTTTTCACTAGCTTTCTTCATCCACCAAGTGTAAGCAAACGTTAAGTGTGTGTATTTTTGTGTCTTTAAGCCTTTTTTGTGTGTGCAACCATGCAAGAGGTAGTTGACATAGAACGCTAGTGAAATGTTTTATACTACTTAGAGTTATATTTTTTTGAATCAATGCATTTCATCTGTCATTTGGTTATTTGATTTTTAGTTGTCTAATGATAAAGACACCTAGTTGAAAATCAAACAGTATAGTGCAGTAAGACTGAACAATAAAATGTAGCCGTTTGCTGCCTCGCCCTTCCTACCCCCAGTACTGTTCTCAAGAGGTAATTACCTTTTCTGATTTTAGGTATGTATGTTGAATAATGAAAAAGATAGTCACTACCTTTTCCTTCCTCATCTCAGAAAGTATAACCACTCCATCTTTTTCTTAGCTGGTCTTTTACTTGTATGTTGTTAAGATTTATAATATTTATATTTCTTGACTACAATATTTTTGCTTTGTTTATGTGCTAAAACCAATAAAATGCAGTATTACAGCTTTGTGATTGTCATATTATTTAGTGCAGAGTCGAGCAGTATGCTATTATAAGTCATACATTTTTTCCCTGTATTTTAACTTCATAATTCTGGTATTTTAACCTCATGATTCCAGTACTATACTAAGGAGAATATTTGTGATATCAAGAGCAAATTGGTTCTTTCTTCTCCTCCAATGTCAAAAATCATGCCATACTTGAGTGTGTTTTATTTTTTGAACCATATACTTTCATAGTTGCAAACCCTCCTCAATTTCATGATTGCCGCCTTGCTTTCTTTTGGGAAGAGGTGCATGTGCTTTCTTTACCAAGTTCTCTCTTTCTTTGTGTAATATATGTGGAAGCTTCCATTCCATTCATTTGCTTGGGCACATTCCTCTCGGAGCCTATTGAGTTTCTGTTTAATTTAAAAGGATTGCCTTGTAGTCCTTTTATATTGCTTCTATCCTGGGTTTACATTCGTTGAACCTTTTGCTTTTTTTTATCAGTGTCTGTAGCAGCTACTGTAATTCTTAGTTTGTCTAGTTTCTTTAGGCGAGAACTTTGTCTTTTGTATGGCTGGCCAATAACTTTGCATGTTATGGTGCGAGTGGCAGAGTTGAGTCTTCTGATACTTCAACACTTCAGATCACCCTTCTGATTTCAAACCCTCTTTGCTCTTCTTCATTGTTCTTGCCTAGTCAAAGTCTGAAGTCTCTGAACCTGAAGAAGCCAAGCGAACCTCTTGACTAATAGGTTGTAGCTTCTGTCTTTATGTTTTTTTTTCTTTTTTTGGTAATGATACTCTTCCATATGTGTTTTACTTTGTAAGAGTTTCTTGACATTTATCATCATCTCCTGGCCTCTTATCCATGTTAAATATTTATACATTTTAAAGCATTTGTTTTTATTGATTTTAATGAGGTTCTGGACATGAGAAAAATGGTCTATTGAATTGGAATTCAGGCATATTTATTACAAAAGGTGAGAGAGGAAAAATGAAGGGCTTTGCCAGTGGAATGTCTTTTTAGTGAGATACCTGAGTGAGAGATTTTGTCAGGAAACCTTTTTTGTTATACCTGCCTTAATGTAATTCAGATTGGTTGGGGACAAGTTTATTAATCTCCAAGCTGCTCTTTTATGTAACTCTGAGGTTACCATTTATTTTGGAGTCAATGCAAATAGAACCCCTCACACTATACACATGGATAAGTATCTAAACGGAAGGCAATAACATCTCTCAGGATTGTTGAGGGATTCAAATGATCATGTGCATAAAACCACATGTTTTGTCCCAATAAAACACATGGCACAAAAATGAAAATTGATTAGTAATTTAATTAATGTGATAGAAACTTCTATTATTATCTAGTTAAATTTTGGTATTGTTAACAAATTATTATTTAGTTTTATTACTTCTCTCACTGAGAAGGAAAGGTTCTTGATAGTGTGTGGATCATTTAATAACAAACTTCCTCTCTTCTTCCCTGCCCCAGGCCCAGCCCCAGCCCCCCCCCCCACTATGGTGACGTAATCCTCCACTCTTAAAACTGTCAGAGATCATTCAAGATAGAATATTCTATCTTCTCCTTTTTATGCCACCGAAAAATCATTGAATTTGGTGTAGAATTACATTATAAATTTATGTTGGGGTGGTTTTCAGTTGATATTATCTTAGAATTTTTTTTTTTAGAAATGGAGTCTTGCTATATTGCCCATGCTGGTCTAGAACTCCTGGTCTCAAGTGATCCTTCCACCTTGGTTTTCTCGAGTGCTGGGATTATAGACATGGGTCACTGTACCTTGTCAGAATTTTATAACTTTGATATTTTTACTATGAAGTGTTCATATTGGCATTTTCCTTCAAGTTGTATATTATTAATCATGTTTAAGGTAAGAAAATATTGGCTTAATGGCTTGTCAATCTGTCATACAATTCTTTCCTTTCCAGGTCATCTTCCAGGATTCAAAAAATGTTTCCCTTGAAGGATACTGATATGGGTGCCTTTACCTTCTTTGCCTCAGCTCTGCCACATGATGTTTGTGGAAGCAATGGGCTTCCTCTCACACCTAATTCCATCAAAATTTTAGGGCGCTTTCAAATCCTTAAGACTATCACCCATCCCAGACTGTGCCAGTACGTGGATATATCTAGGGGAAAGCATGGTGAGTTGTTTTTCTGGATTTGTGGGGATTTCCCCCCTATTTTGTGTTCTTTGTTACCCTGATTAAGTTATAAATATTATACTGCATATAGTAAATTTAACAAGAAATCAGTATATGTATGCCTATACCCTTTTCTTTCCCCTCACCTTCTCCCTCCTTTTTTTTTTTTTTTTTTTTGGTATAATTGCCCATTTATTTGTAGATCTACCAGGTAAAACCCACTCTTTACCAGGCTGTTACACGCAAGATGCATCGTGATCTAGTCCCTGCTCTCCTCTTTAGATGGGTTGCTTATTGTTTCTACCACTCTAACCCTTCACTGCAGCCGAGCCGAGCTGTATTTACTAATCAGGAGACAGGGCCAGGAGTAGAGGGCTTGGCCATTTGCTCCCTGCATAACAGCTTCTGCTTAATGGAGTAAGTGGAAGCTGAAATCTAATTTTTTCTTCTCATTTATTCTGAGGGAAGCGTGCTTTTTCTAATTTACTTAAAAATAACCATGAAGGACTAACTAGTGGTAAATATAGCTACAATGGACTATAGACAGCTCTAGCCATTTGGCACAAGCCCAGAAAAGAACTTTTAGCTAGTATTTTGTTGTTGAAAAAATAGTAAGTTTTTGCTAAGTTTTTTGTTTGTTAAATGTCTTCAATGACAGTAATTAAATGTTGAAAAATTATGGGGATTATTTGGTACTTTTTAATATTACCTAGCAATTGGCTAAGGCGCCAGCCACATACACCTGAGCTGGCGGGTTCAAATCCAGCCCAGACCCGCCAAACAACAATGATGGCTGCAACCAAAAAAAAATAGCCAGGCGTTGTGGCGGGCGCCTGTGGTCCCAGCTACTTGGGAGGCTGAGGCAGGAGACTCGCTTGAGCCCAGGAGTTGGAGGTTGCTGTGAGCTATGATGCCACAGCACTCTCCCCAGGGCGACAGCTTGAGGCTCTGTCTCAAAAAACAAAAACAAAAAAATATTACCTAGCAATTAATAGATACTTTCAATCCTTCAAACTTCAACACCCTCCCTCCACCAGGTCTAGTTACGGATTCTAAAGAATTTCCAGATGTAGGGTTGAGTTAGTTCCAGAACCACTCTAAAGCTCAGAAGTGTAATAGATTCTTATTATCTGTGTCTGGTGACCATGATTAATTTTGCTTACCTCTGCAAATTGGGCTGAGGCCCGTCTTCCCAAACTTAGTTCTTAGAACTTCATTCTTGTTTCCCAAAGTGCTCTCTGTTTTTTCCCACTGTATCTGGAAGCCTCTTTGAAGCTTTAAATCATGTAATTGGGGTCTTATCTCTGACCAATTTTTCCTAGGCCTCCTTTTCTTGGAATAGTTAACTAAATAGTCTTAGATATTTCCTGAGCCCCTTCTTTTCCTTTCTCTATCTCAGTGGGTCCCTGTAAACACTGAATTAGGGACTGCCTACAATGGAATTCCTTTTGGGGAATTGCTAACCTTGCAATGAACTTCCTTCTTGATTATCATTGTGAGATCAGAACTGATCCCCTTCCACACTG